CATTTTAAATTGCAAGTCACTTTGAATTGCATTTATTGTATGAATTGTGCTATATAAATAAAGTTTTGATTTGATTTGCAACTGGGGAAAATAAGAAGTGAGTTCACTTTTAATTAAATGGTTGTTTACAAACTTTGACCAACCAGATCTGAGAAATTTGCATAGACGTTTAACAAGAGTCCTCAAACACCCCCTCTCTGAGATGCTGTAAAATGCTTATTTCATTTAATATATGGAGTAAATTTGTTAAACATTCATTAGTTATTATACTGATATTATTATGTGAATGTTACTGTTGGGTAGGGTTAGGGTTTCATTATTAAATCATCAAGTTGACTAATTCAATTCAATTCAATTCAAAAGAACTTTAATCATCCCCGAGGGGCAATTGAGGACAATTCCAAGATCAGACATACATACATAGACACACGACAAGAATTGGTGACTGTGGTTATTCGCAACACGAGTCGTGCCACTGTTACAGATCAAGAGGGTTTATACTAGGGATGCACCGATCAGGTTTTTTGCTGCCGATCACGATACTGATATCAAAGAATGCTGATCACCGATACCGATCACGTGGATTGGCCAGAAATTTTCTACAACATTATAATGAGTGCTACAAACTACATAATCTGGGAATAAAGGAAATGTAACCTAATCTAAAATGGTCTGTATTAAGGTTGTCACGGTATGAAAATTTAACCTCACGGTTATTGTGACCAACATTACCACGGTTTTCGGTATTATTGCGGTATTTTTTTTACGCGCTACTTTTTCACACAATTAAATAAACCCTGTATGTCAGGAAATATTGTCCTCAGTTTGTGTCTAAATTTAGCCTAAAATGTGTTATTTTGTAATTATGTTGTTTATTTGTTTACATTTTTTCCCTTCAGTCTTTAAAATACCAACATTTTGTCATGTTCTGCGGGTGGAGGTGGCAGACCATGTGTGGTGGTGGGTTCCGGAGGCAGATGAGCAGGCAGACGGATGTAAAAAATAAAAAGCTGTTTATTGAAGGACGGGAGCACAGGACGAACGAACATGGACAACGACAATGAACCGACATAGACAACAACCAGGAGGGAGGTATAAATACACGAGGGAATCAGGAACACATGGGCAGAGTAATCAGGGACAGGTGAGAACAATTAGGCTAATCAGGGCAGGAGAGACACATTCAGGGAGGCTGGGGCAGATCATGACACATTTGCCCATAACTTCTTATTTTTTGTCTGTTTGATGTCATCATTTTACAAATATTAGATCAGATGATACTCAGTACTCAAGTAGCCTTCTAATCAGATACTTTTTTACCCTTACTTGAGTAATAATCCCTATTTCAGGAAAATATTGTCCTCGGTTTGTGTCCTTCCAGTGAGCTTTGCAGATGTGGGAAAATGTCATCAGGCAGTAATCGTTGTTAAATTCATAATTATTCCCGGAGAGAGACCAACTCTTATCTGCCCCTGGGAGCCCCGTAATGCATAGCGTCATTTCAACATGGCGGTGTCCGCGACACGGTTTATATGCAGGTAGCGGCGCTGCGGCTGCTTTATATAGCGACTCGTTGCATTCTCCCTCAACCCAAATCCTCGGATCACGCATTTTAGCTAAAACGCTAACGTTAGCTTGCCTTGCGTTTACTGTAGAGTTGTGGGTGATGGTCGCGCAGGTGTGTCATGAGATTTGAAGCGTTGCTGCCTTTCACAGACACTTTTTCTGCACGTGCTGCAAACAGGATAGCCGTCTTCTATCAACTGTCCCTCAGCATTCTTCAAATATCCAGAAAATGCCCGTACTTCCCACTTTGTCTTCTTTGAGGGATAATAAATGTCCTGAGCGCTGCCGCCTCCTCCTTTGGCCATTATTTCAGCTTTAGCTTCAAGAAAGTTTTGGTTGTAAAAACAAAGCTCGCATGTGCCGCCGGCAACTTCAGCAGATGATACGGTGGCTGGTAAGGGTCACCGCGCCTACACCGCAGCCACAGTAAACCCACCGAGATAATATAGTTTTTGTAAAAACAAGATGTTTATTATTATTGTCAACTTTTTTTTACCGGGGTTTACCGCTACACCGGTTACCGTGACAACCCTACCTGATCGGTCTGCTTTGATCTATTTTGAAAACTCCGATCAAAACCGATAGCGCCCCATCGGCCGATTGGGATCAAATGCCGATCCATCGGTGCATCCCTAGTTTATATGAGGATAGAGTCAGGGGGAGGGAAAAAAAGGCACTTCAGAGCTACCCCGACAAAGAGGATATCTTTGCTATGCAAAAAAACCCACCTCAAACAGATATGCACACAGACATCAGACGATACACAACATAAGTCTCCACTAGGTGGGGCGGTATGGTTGGGACTCTCCTCGCTTCAGAGTGTGCAGCCACATGGAGCAGCACTCATCACCTTCGTTTGGACAGGGGAGGGAGATAATTGGGTTAGAGAGCACATTGAATCCACGGCGTTCACCGGTCACAGTCCTGCCCAGGCTGAGATAGGGAGAAAGAGTTACCATAGCGATGACAGCATTCCACATTTCTTCTGAGAGGAGTTTTCACTTCAGCCTCACAGGCTTCAAGGGCACCAGATTCAGATAGCAGGAATTGTTTTGGGTACAGGCAGAGATAATTTCCTCTCTGCCTTAGAGTTCTGTTGGTCTTCAACCCTCCAGGTCCAATAATGGCATTATCAAACTATTCCAATCCGTGCTGATCCATCAACTCTCTCCTTGATCGAATCAACCTTCTGTGCCACAGCCTGAAGTTCCAAGCTTACGACTCATCTCGACAATTATGAGTTTGTGAGTTTACAGCACGATGCATTTCATCCCTGAGCTCCGGGATTAAGCCAATATTCCTCGAGAGCTCGTTAATTTTCCGGTATGCCAGGTAACCGCACAGGCCAAATAGCAGAAATCCCGACACCAACACCACGAATATCCAGACGTCTTCAGAATCCTCTACAGACAGCTGAGAGAGGCAGATCAGGTTCCACTGTTTCCAGGAGTCCATGATATACCCAGCTGGCTCTGTCCCAGAGGGGCATCCAGGAGCCCCTTCTCCCGTTCTCATCGTTGAAAAGATTTTGTCAATCACGTTGAGAGACCAACTGACCAGATCCATGTTTAATAATTTCCAGTTTCCAGAAGAAATGCAGAGAAGTGCAGTGCACAGGCAGACAGGACAAAAAGAGCCTTGGGAGAGGAGAAAAAAGCGCCCGTACTCTTCAAGAGCCGGAAGAAGGAAATTTAATTTAGTCTAATCTAATTTAGTGTATTTAAGAATACAGTATATTCTCGACAACATGAGGAAAACATTATTTGAACAGTTTTTTTAATGGGAAATTATTAACCCTCTGGAGGTAGGCATTGCAGATTAGCAACGTTAAAACCTACGTACCTACCTGGTTACTCCACATACGTATTTCATGAGCATTTTAACTCAGAAGTACCCCTGAAGGACTTAGCTGTTCTTCCTTTTATCAAAACTTATTTTGAGCCTGAGAGGGTTAAAAAATCTTAGGAAGCAGGCTGAGGTAGCAAACACAAAGCGTAATTTTAAAAGTGCAAAACTTTAAAAAATGTATGTTTCAGTTAAGTCCCTTTTCAATTTTCTGAATAAACTTTGACTCCTGCATACAGCATAGACATAGAAGAGTAGACGTCGCACCAACCGCTACTGCCTATGTTTGGGCACATTTGGGTTCTACTTTTCATAAGCTCTATGGTTAACAGGATGTTTTAGCTAGGCTTTAGCTCCAGAAAAGCTCCGTGGACATCTGGTGCTAGAACGGCAAATGAACGCGTTCATAAACCCGTTCACGCACCCCAGGACAAACGCATTCACTTTTATGTTCGTCAGGCAAAATATGAATGAATTCAGTTTACGTTCACGAAAAAAACAAACAAATAAATTAACGATCGTTCAATGAAAGCGTTCGAGCACAACACTGGTTGTCGCTGGTTTCATAATCACCCAACAGCTCATCACATTTAGTGAAGTGAAGCCAAACTTTAGAGCACGTTCACTTTCTTCTAGTAGACAGCAGATGCACCATACTCTCTATTGGACGCTCTTATAGAGAAACCTTACATAAACTAGCACGTGTACACACACAGGTGCTCACATGGTGCTCTCATAAGTATGGAGGCATATCTTAAGGCTGTGGTTGGCACTTAATGCACTGTGATTTATTATCATGTGATTGTTCAGTAAAACAATGTTGATTTTATATTTCATCAGGTTGGCGAAGTGATAGCTTGCTCTTGTTGTATTCTTGTGTGTTGTTTTTCTCTTTCTTTTCGACACAACACTTGTTAAAATGCACCCCACCCCAAAAATAAAATAAAAATAATTCACCAGCTGCCATTGGTTCGTGAATACAAATATTGGTGTCTGGGTCCCTGACTCCCTCTCCTTCAAGCCCTACATAGACCTATGTCACTTAACATTCATGGACTCACCCATCTTGACTCAAAGGCTGTTGTTTGTTTAACATCCAGGAGACAGCAGAGAACGTCTCAGCTAATAGAAGCTAAGCACTAGTATTAGCAACTCCACCACACAGGAGAACTCCTCCAGGCTTGTGTTATTTGTGGAGGTAAAACATTAATGTTGCAGAGTAGATGGAGCCAGTGGTAGAATCTTGTTGCTGGTAGCCAATCAGAGGCATCCAAATTTCAAGAAATAAGAGTCCAAATCCTGTCTCTGAAGCTACTTTCTCCTCCAGCTGACTTGCACAACTTGATTAAGGCACAACTGAGCTTTAATTCCCCATAGAACGACTTACACAGCGTTCATTTCTACTAAAGACCACTGCAATAATAATTAAACAAGTGTTTCACTCCTTTAAATGTCTGTTTAGAATGATGACTCTCTAACTGAAATGTTGCTGTTTCTAAAAAGATAAGCTTTGAGTTGTGTTAAACAATTCTTTTTCATTGTTGTAAGTTATGAAATGGGACAGAATAAAAGAGTTGACTGGGACGTACGGTTCTGCAGGGGTTGACAGGGAAGCAGAGCTTCCCTGATCCAGAAAAACCCGTCCGACATCTGCAGGATGTCTGCACAAAATGGAAAAGGAAATGTTATTGCTTTCACGGGTTTCCTCTATCATTTTTTTCAAGAAAAACATTTCAATCTAATGAATTTAAAAGCAGAAACACTAAGGGCTTTGACATTTTTCCTCTAGAGGAGATAATTACATTGATCTTACAAGCAGATGAATTTTTAGTCCAAATCAGCAGCATTTTGTTAGAACATGAAGAGTTTAAAGGTAGTTTTGTGATTCTTACAACATTGGGTCCAGTTCTGATGCAGTCCGCTGCCCTGTGGCAGCCACCATTGTTGACCAGACAGCCATCGATTTCTGTAGACAGACAAATGTAATTAATTTATCTGATGTACATATTATTATCACAGCTCTGCTTATTTTATTTATGAATTTTTAGGGAAAAAAATAAAAGAAAATAGTGTCTCACGTGCATCTTTAGGTACTTTTTCCGGATGCCATTTAATTAGACTGGTATTTCTGTTAAAACTATAGGAAGACTTGGGGACTGAAATGTTAAATTTATCAGGTTCACTTTAGTAACTAACCTTTAGTTACTGAAACGCCTTTCTCCTTTCACTGCTGGCTAAAGGCTTCTAGCCTCAACCAACAAACTCTGGTACTGAGACCACCTGCTCTAATACCTGGCCACTGGGCTATGGGAACTCTTGTGTTCAACCATCCTAAGCTGTGCCTCTCCCCTTAGGCACTGGAGTGGTTTTCCTTTTATCAGTCTGAGCGTTCTTCACCTCTCTCTCTTTATTCTGCTCTCCCCACCTATTCCACCTTCCTCAGGATCCACTGGTTTCCCTCTTTCCTGTTCACTCTCTCTCTTTCTTAACATTTTTTCTTTTAAATCGCAATTGCTTATTCTTGCTCATTTTAAATATATTTTAAACATTTTTGAAATGCTTTTTTATATTTTTACAATTCTTTTATTTTTTGTTTTTGTTTTTGTGAAGCGCCTCGTGATTTTTATCTTGAGAGGCGCTATAGAAATGATATCTTCTCCTTCTCCTTCTTCTTCTTCTTCTTCTTCTCTGTGGCAGTCTCCAAGTTTCTGTCCAGTTCATTAAGCCAATCAGTAAATAGTGTTTTACATTAGTGATGCGCGGACTGACTTCTAACCCGCCGTACCAGCGGGTTACTCGCGGGTCTGGTTGGGTCGGGTCAATAAATTCAGTGTGGTGCGGTTTGGGGTGGGTTCATGAAATATATATATATATATATATATATATATATATATATATATATATATATATATATATATATATATATATATATATATATATCTCAGATCAGACTAGGGCTGCACAATATATCAAAAAGTTATCGTCATCGCGATAACAGGACGTGCGATAGGCCCATCGCAAAGCACGTCAAAAACAGCGATAAATGTTTGGTTCAACATTTCCATCCGTGTCATACATCACCTTTTTGTAAACCAGCTCTGTTTTTTACGCAGAAGTATTATTTGACCAATCAAATGTAGCCCTTCTGATATGCGGCCAATCAGATGGTTCCGTTCACGTAATACACCCGCCCCCTACATAGACCCTTTTGGAACGCAACACCCGAACATTAGCGGCACCGTTCCCTTGTTCGTCATGCTGGCTCAGAACAACGAACGCACTTTGTGCTGATGTTTCTGGAATCAGCGCTGCTTTCAAATGTGAACGTGAGTCCGCTCGGTGTCGTTAAGCAGCTGATAATAACCGGGCTGACTCCGACACGTGCCGGTGAACCAACCCACCTTCATGTCGCTAGTGTTAGCCCTAGGCTCCGGTTAGCTTCCAGCTAAAAGGCTACAGCACTCTCCTCCCAGTGCCACCCTGCTAAAGAGGGCCTGGAAAAGTTCCCCCACACATCAAAGTGATTTTTCCTTTATGAGCTTTTATAACCTTGTTAATCAGGATAGTTGATTTGCTGCTGCACATAAACTATCAGTCAGAAGCTCTGCTAGCCGGTTATCTTAGAGGAGCTAGTTCAATTAGTTAGCTTGTTATCAGAATCATAGTTGCAGTTTCATCATCTGAGCTGCTTTTTAAGATCTAGGTAAACTTGTTCAATTTGGGGTTAAAAACAAACGTTTTCACATATTTTCCATGTAGATTCTTGCCAGTTCCTCTTCTGAAAGGTAGACAATTGTTTTTCTCTTTCCCTCAGAAAATCTTAATGTTCTCCTAGTTTGGCCCAGCACAGTTCACTTCCCAATTACAGTAACAGCCTTACATCATAACCACATAAGTGGAGAAAATGCTCAGTAGCAATGAGAGAATTTGCTGTTGCATTTAAGTGATGTTAACTATTATCGGACAGGAATTCGAGAAACGTGATTGGTAGCCAAGACTCGTGCTCTCATTGGTTCCACCCAAGTTCCTCCCACTGACGCTAGAATAGAGACAAAAAGATTCGTAACACTGTAGATTTGAGGTTTGTACCTGTAGAATGAAATGTGTGTTTTGAGAGCTTTGATTTCAAACATGTACCTTGATTTTTTCTATTTGGAAGTCTGCTAGTTACAAAACGAAAGTTTCATGTTTCTGAATGAATGTTTGATGTTACAAAATGAGTAAATGTACAAAATAAAAGTTTGATTTTACAAAATAAAAAATACATGTACAAAATACAATGTTCCTGTTACAAAACAAGAAATACAAGTAGGAATTGAGAATTACAAGTTACGAATCCAAAGTTACATGTGATGAAACATGTTCGAAGTTACAAAACTTGGTACAAGTTACGCTGAATATTGTCCCAATCCTAGTTCCATACGTGCCGCTCTCTCAGTCCACCAGGAGACGCCTCTTTCAGAAGTGTTTTCCTAACAGGAAGTGTGGATGAAATACGTCCCCACCCAGGCCCTGACCCTCACTTTAATGAGTACTGTCCCCGTTAAATAAACTAATAATGAAAATATTCATTATCTACCCAGGCAGACGACTCCGTCTCCCGTGTATCCCGCCTTACAGGTGCAGGTCCTTTCTCCACCTGAGAGCTTTGTACAGACTGCAAACTCAGAACATCCACCATTAGACCTGCCGCACACATCCAGCTCTGAGGAACAGAGAAAAGGAGTTCAGAAAGTTCAGGGGGGTCAGAGGTCATCAGGAAGTCAATGTCCATACCTTTGCAGAAGGTTCCATTCCCCTCGTATCCAGCGGCACACACGCAAGCAGCTGCTGATCCCTTGGGTCCTGTAATGCAGCTGCAGCCAAAAACACCCAAAGTGAAAGGTATCATACTTTTTCTTTTTGAAGCACGGTCTGTCGCGCTGAGTTTCACATGAAGGCTAACTGTGAAACATCTGTTTCCTGCATTATCTGCTAAAAAAGAGATAGGGTTTTGCTTGGGACAGATCTACAGACTGATCTACAAATTTGCAATCATAGACTCATCCAGCTTGGCTTGTGACTGCACAAGGCCACTGATTTAGCTTCCAGTACGAACTATTTTTTCTCCTACAGAAAATTACTAAATTAACTCATTCATACTAAAGAGCACAGCACATTTATTTCATCCTGTGTGTAGAGGTCAGCAGCGCACCGTCCCCACCATAAACAGTGTTGGTAGTGCACTGCTTTCACCTCCTGAGGCGCCGGATGGTGAACCAGAATCTCCTCGAAGCCATACGGAAGTCTTGCTCCATGGTCTCAGCAAACTCCTCCCATGCTCAGGACCGCAACCACTCGAGCCGCAATCCTCTTGGACTGCCACCACCCATCAGCTGCCTTTGGAGTCCCACAGGCCAAAAAGACCTGATGGGACTCTTTCTTCAGCTTGACAGCATCCCTAACCGCCGGTGTCCACCAGCGGGTTCGGGGGTTGCCACCACGACAGGCACCGACGACCCTGCGACCACAGCTCCAGTCGGCCGCCTCAACAATGGAGGCACGGAACAGGGCCCATTCGGACTCAATGTCCCCCGCCTCCTCCGGAACATTTTAGAAGTTCTGTCGGAGGTGGGAATTGAAGTTCCTTCTTACAAGAGAGTGCCAGATGTTCCCACCAGACCCTCACAATACGTTTGGGTCTGCCTGGTCTGACCGGCATCCTCCCCTACCATCTGAGCCAACTCACCACCAGGTAGTGTCAGCTGACAGCTCCGCCCCTCTCTTCACCCGAGTGTCCAAGACATGCGGCCACAGGTCAGATGTAACAACAACAAAGTCGATCATCGAGCTGCGGCCTAAGGTATCCTGGTGCCAAGAGCCTTTATGTCTGAACATGGTGTTCATTACGGACAATCCATGACTGGCACAGAAGTCCAATAACAAAACACTCAAATTCAGATCAGGGGGGCGTTCCTCCCAACCACACCTCTCCTGGTCTCACTGTCGTTGTCCACGTGAGCGTTGAAGTCCCCCAGCAGAACGAGGGAGTCACTGGAAGGAGCGCTCTCCAGCACCCCCTCCAGATGGGTGTGTGGTCTGGACTGTAGTTTTGGTGCACGAGCACAGACCACTCTAAAATCGCTCTGTTTCTAAACAGTTCTGTCAGTTCATCTTATTTTTCTGAGACGAGTGACTGTCTAAACGTCACAGCAAGGTGTGTTGAGGCAACGATGCATCAGCTGATCGAGAGCTAAAGGGGCAGATGTTTGCTTCCAAGCACATCAGGCGCAGCGAGGAACGAGAAAGTTGTGACCAGGCTAGAGATCACACCAGATTCGCTGCTGCAGGTGTGAATCTGCGGGTCTGCAACCATCCCTGGTCAGGCGTCAGATCATTAATCCCTCATTATGATCTTTTATCTTCCTATCATTCTCCAGTCCTCCAGCTGGAACCAGTTAGTGTTCTTGTTCATTTCTTTAGTCCTGCTGTGACACTCATTGTGTCAGTGTCAGAATGTGTCACGTCTGCTCTGGTGGTAAAAGTTAGTAAAGGTAAGTCCTAGATCATATTTGTGCTGCTCTACTGTCACTTTTAAGGATTTGTATTCATATGTGTGTTTTTACTGCATTAGGAGTAGAAATGCTAATACAGGGTATCTGCAGGTTTAAGGGAGCCAGATTTAAGACTTTTTAAGACCTTTTTTAAGGCCACTTTGACCAAATTTAAGCTTTTTTTTTTATTAAATTTAAGCAATAATTTCCAGCTATTGCCTGGAACCGGTGCTAACCACGTCGTGAACGTGGGATTAGCCATCCAGTCACCATTAATGTTGCACTTCCCCATGGCGCAAACTCCCACTAGCATGCTCATCTAAAAATAGCCCCCTTTCACAACCAACCGAATGTGTACGGTTCCGCTTACGCCAATATCATACACAAAAAATGCCAAACTAACTAGAAATTCATGAAAATTTTATAGAAATAAAAGAATCTTGTTTATTGGGTCTTTGGTAATTTAAGACCTTTGGAAACTATTTAAGGATTATTTGTCGTTTTTAAGGATTTTTAAGGCCTTAAATTTGGAAAAGCTAATTTAAGACTTTTTAAGACTTTTTAAGGACCCGCGGATACCCTGTAATAAAAACACCCAATTATACAAACAAGTGAAACTGGAAAAATATGGTGCAGAGTCCGTTTATTTCAGTAATTCAATTAGACTGAGAGACAATATAAAGGCTCAGGAAGTCTGCAGCTGTTTTCTATTTGCAATTCTACAATTTGGTTGATTTGGGTCTTGTTTCATATCACTCAGTGGCATTTGAATAATTAAAATGCATTTTTTAAATAAATTAAAAGAGCATCAGTTTACAGTAATAATATGCATGTTTGATTCTCTGCCTCATTATTTTTAACTTTAAAATTGCTTTGAGGGCAATTGCTTTAATTGGACGATTAATATGTGATCAATTTGGATTAACTATTTACAAAGCCTTTTAATCAGGTCCCACCCCCATCGATCCACCCATTTTTTGAGAGAGAGAGAGGGGGGGGGGGGCTTGTGCCTGATTTAGAAAAGGTGTTGGATCGCGTCTCTTGGGACACCCTGTGGGGGTACTTGAGGGGTAGAGGGTATCAGGCACCTTTAAATGGGCTGTTAGGTCCCTATATGACCAGTGCCAGAGCTTAGTCCACATTGCTGGTAGCACTTCCCGGGTTCATTCCCAGTAAGGGTTTCACTCCGCCAACGCCGGATCCGTTTTGGTGGCCTAAGGATCAGGTATCTGCTTTTGGCAGATGATGTGGTCCTGTTGGCTTCATGAGACTGTGATCTCCAGTCTGCTCTTTAGCTGGAGTGTGAAGTTCATGGCATGCAAAGGGTTAGCTCCTCTAAATCTCAGACCACGGTCTTGAGACGGAATAGGGTAAAATGCCTTCTCCAGATCAGGGACGACATCATGTCTCGAGTGGAGGATTTTAACCATCTTGTGGATTTATTCATGAGTGAGGAAAAGATAGAGCTAGAGACTAACAGGTGGATGGGTGCTGCACCTGCAGTGATGTGGTCATTGGACCGGTCTGTCATGGTGAAGAGAGGGCTGAGCCGAAAAGAAAAGCTCTCCATTTACCGCTCAGCCTACGCTCCTACCCTTGCCTGTGGTCATGAGCTTTGGCTAGTGGCTGAAAAAATGAGATTATCGATACAAATGGTACAAATGAGTTTTCTACGCAGGGTGTCTGGGCTCCCCCTTAGAGATATGGTGAGAGGCTTGGTCATCCAGTATGGGCCCGGAGTAGATTTGCTGATCCTCCACATCAATAGGATGCAGTTGAGGTGGCTCAGGCATTTGGCTAGGACGCCTCCTGGACACTGCTCTGGTTTTCTCAGCACGTCCAACCAGAAAACCCAAAGGAAGACTCTGGACATACCGGAGGGGCTCTGTTTGTTGTCAGGCCTGGGAACACCTTGGGATTCCCCCGGAGGTGCTGGCCCAACTGGCTTGGGAGCGGGAAGTCTGGGCCTCTCTTCTTAGGCTACTGCCACTCTGACTTGACCTCGGATGAGCGGAGGAAAATGGATGGATGGATTTTTTATTTTAAACGTTGTACCCCAGCTTTAATAACAGCATATATGTTTGTTGAGTTTTACATCTGAGCGCATTTTAAAATTGAAGAATAAGTAATACACAATTCAAAAAGAGAACACACACTAATGGAATGACTTACTTTGCATTGTCATCACACACACCTCTGCAGGCATCATCCTTGATCTCTAAAACACAAACAGGTTTCATGTGAAAACAGGAATAAGGAAAACCTTCAGTTTTCATCACGTGCAACGTACCCACAGAACACGATGCTCCTTTCCAACCTTTGATACAAACACATTTGCCACTTCCTGCTAAACCGTCTTCACACTTCCCATGGTCACACACACACTCTGCAACACATAGTCAAGATTACTTGGATCAACACATGATTTACCACATCTTAACTGCACTGATGTGCTAGACTTGAAGTTGCTGAAACGCTGCACAGAATATTAACAACTCATGCTCATCTTCCCCCTATGTAGCCCTGGATGTCAGCAGCAGCAGCTCTCGCAACAAGAGACCGTCCGCCTTTCCGAACAACCACCCAAACAACCACCAACACAACAACCAAATGGTGGTTTGATTTTGACAGAAAGGTTTTAGAATTTGTAAACGGAGAAAATATTTCTGGATTTGTGTTTTTTTGTTTTGAGAAAATGGGGAGAGGGTTCAAGAAAAGTGTTTTATAAATTCAGAGAAACTGTAATTTAGATGCTAGGATCAACAGTGTCAACACACATGAACACCACAGGTTCACACGTGTTTTAAACGTGTTAAACTACAAATCCTATGTTGACAACTTTCTCATTCGGTTTCTCAAAGCGCCTAGAAGCAGCTGGTGTACATGTATGTGTGTGTGTGTGTGTGTGTGTGTGTGGGGGGGGGGGGGGGGTCAATGTGTGTGCCTGTGTGTTTGAGTGAGGGGGTGCATGTGTGGGTGTAGTGTGAATGCATGCATGTGTATTTGTCCGTGTTTGTGCATTTCTGTTGCTCACTGGATGAGCAGTTGACTCCATAGCGGCCTGGCTCACAATCCTCACAAGCAGTGCCATGGAACCCCTCATAGCAACGACACTCTCCATTGCCATGGTTACCATCCTGGCACTTTCCATGGTTAGAGCACCAGTTGTCATTCTCTCCAGGACATTTGAAGCATTCATGGCCATAGAAGCCAGGACAACACGAGTGATCCTGCAAGAGAGACACACCATCATCATCATCATCATCATCATTAATGTATTTATGATGATCATCACCAACATCACAATTGTCATCAGAATGGCATTAAATTAGTCTCCGAGAACAAAGTAAGGAACCTTGGTGTTATCTTTGACCAGGACATGTCATTCAAATACCAGGTTAAACAGGTTTGTAGGATTTCCTTTTTCCACCTTCGGAATATTGCTAAGATTAGACACATCCTTTCCAGGAGTGATGCTGAAAAACTAGTTCATGCATTTATTACATCAAGACTGGATTACTGTAATTCATTACTCTCAGGAAGTCCACAGAATGTAGTTAAAAGTCTTCAGCTTCTGATGAGAATTAAAAAGAGAGATCATATCTCTCCTGTCTTAGCTTCTCTACATTGGCTACCTGTTCAATTCAGAATGGATTTTAAGATCCTCCTCGCATATAAAGCTCTTAATAATCAAGCTCCATCATACATCAGTGACGAGCACTTCGCTCTCAGACTTCAGGTTTAGGATAGGAGGCAGATCTTTTAGCTATCAGGCTCCTCTCTTGTGGAACCAGCTCCCAGCTTTAGTCTGCGAGGCAGACACCTTGTCTACTTTTAAGAATAGGCTTAAAACATTTTTATTTGATAGGGCCTATGGTTAAAATCTGATGTTAGCCCAAATCTGGACAAGTGGGGGAGTAGAGGGAGGTGGAGTGTACAGTCGGTAAAGACGGCTCTCCCTTGCCCTGCCTCCAACATGCCTCCATCTAAATAGGATAGGTTATCCAGAGTTATCTCTGTAGTTATGCTGCTATAGGCTTAGACTGCTGGAGGATACACTGACCACTTTCCACACTCTACTACTTTCTTTGTAGCCCTTTACATTACAGCTCAGTAATAACAAGGTAATGGTGTAGTTATATCAATGTAACAATTTGGTAATAACAAGGTATTACTGTGTAATTTCTTTAACATGTTAAAATGAAATACCATAGTAATAACTTGTGGGTTCAAATTAGTTATAACATGATAATAGTGCTTTATTACAGATGTAATAATTAAGTAAAACTGTATAAAATCTTGAATATATTACAATTTAATATCATAGTAATAATTTCAGGGCTCTAATCAGTAATAACATAGCAATAGTGCTTTTTATAGCTGTAATAATATTGAAATACTGTGTACTCTGAGGCCTGGTACAATGAAATAACACAGTAGCAACATCAGCATTTGCCGGGGCAATATTTAATTAATTGCCAGTTATAGCCATATAATTTCATGGTATTTGCACAGTTTAATTTCCTAGTATTATTACAGTAATTACCTCAGTTAAAACAATTGATATATTAGATATATAATTTAATAATAATATATAATTTGCCTATATCAACACAATTTTTATTTTTCAGTTATTTCACAGTAATAACCATAAATCAGGGATGCAAATTGACCAATAACCTGTTTTTACTTTATGTTCTTGTAATATATTAGAAAAAGGCACTGAAATTACTGCGAGACAATTCCTGTAATTTCACAGTAATAACCATGAATCAGGGCTGCAAAGTGTCCAATAAGCTGTTTTCATTTTATTTCTTGGTAATAATTATTTATAGTAACACACAAATCTATCGAAAATACCATGAGACAAATCGGGTAACTTCACAGTAATAACCATGAATCATGGCTGCAAAGTAACCAATTTCCTGGTAATATTTTATCATTGTAAAAACAAAAAGCTATATATTGTTAATTACCATGAGACAATTCTGGTAATATGCCATTAATAACCATAAATCTGAGCTGCGGAGTGACAATAATCTGTTTTTTTATTTATTTATTTATTTTTATTATTATTTACTGGTAATCTCTTATTGTAAACTCTACAAGGCATTGAAATTACCTCGAGACAGTTCTGGTAAGTTCACAGTAATATCCACAAATCAGGGCTGCAAAGTGACCAATAACATGTTTCTACTTTATTTCATGGTAATAACCTATTAACATGGGAAGGCAATGCAACACACATCAGTAAAGGTTGCAAACTCTTTATTTAACACTGCAATTGTCTATACTTTTAAGCTTAAGTAGAAAGAGGGAGAAAAAATCTATAATAAAAGCTATTAAGGCACTAATTGTTTTAAGTTATGGATATTGTTGTCCAAACCCCCACTTTAAAATGGACACATCTCTCGAATGTCCTTAACCCTCTCAGGCTCAAACAAATGCTCATGAAACACGTGTGTGGCGTAACCAGGTAGGTAGGTTTTAACGTTGCTAGTCTGCAACACCTACCTCCAGAGGGTTAAGTGACTTGTTTCTTATCATGCATCGTCTCCTCTGTAATCTGTGATGTAATTGCTCAACCTTAATTCTGTCTTTTCCTATGATCTCTAAATTATAATTTTATGTGTGTATCTTTAAATTTGTGTTCTCGTGTTTGTTGTTGTTCCATTTCATGCTAATTGTAAAGCACATTGAATTGCCCTGTGTTTGAAATGTGCTCTATAAATAAATCTGTCTTGCCTAATTTTAATCTCATTTTTAATGTTGGCTTGTTTTTTATTTGTTCCATTCCTAGCATCTTTATTTACAAATAAACAGCAAAATTTTGTGTGTTTCTAACAACATAGTCTGGTACCACAGAAAACTTGTGGCTTATTAGGCGTATACGCCCTCTTAGCCTGAGTTCCTTTTAAGAACTAGATGTAGCCCGGTGGCTCGGCTCACGACAACAATCATCCTCGTCTGAATCTGGCATCCTGTTAAGCTTAAAAGCTAATGGGCTCGACACACGGGAGAAGACAAACGACCGCGATCAGTGAAATTTGTTGCCGTCGCTTTTATTGCCTGACACACGGGAGGCGACCCGCGGCAGCGGCCAGCGGCAAAGCCGTCTACGCGTTTTGTTCCATGGTGAAATCGAAACTTCCGTTGTTTTGATTGAGGGAATTGGGGGTTGTTGGAGGGAATTAAGGTTATTTAAGCGGTTCAGAGTTAATAAAGCGGTAGATATGATGTTTCACAAGGTGCTGCTAGAGTTATGTGAAATCTTACTTCTGATTTTACTATAAAACATAATAATAATCAACTTCTCCTCCATGTTTGCTCGGAGGTGTACGGAGCATCCTGTCCGCTCATTGGTCAGTGAATGAAACCTCCGTTGATTGGTCCTCGTCCGAGCGACAGCGATGAAAAGTTGAAAATGTTTCAACTTTCTGGGATCGCGTCGCTGGGTCGCCTGTGCACGACACGTGCACGAGCACAAAATTTCACACGCACGTTTTTCGCGTTTCGCTTGGTAGGAGGGAGACCCGCGATTATCGCTTTGTCGCGCATGTCTCATTGAAAATGAATGGAGGAGAGGCGATGTCGCCTCCCGTGTGTCGAGCCCATAAGAATCCAAAACTCCCACAGATTTAATGCTGATAAATGCTTTGAAACCCTCCCTGCCCCAATCCTGGTTGGACCTGGGAGCCTCATTTATACAGTCAATGCGTGAGCTGGGAAATGTGGCGAAGAGGCAGAGTGCACATCACTAGCTGCCGCTTAACCACCAGACCCGACCACGGGTCATGGCAAAACAATCAAACCAGGTGGAGCTCTAGAGGGAGTCCAGCTGCACCATTCAGGCCAAACATGAGCAATGTGTTTGCCGGGGACGGTGATCGGAGCTGCATCATGACTGATACGTCAGAGTTCCTGATGCCTCATGACCTGGATTAACCACAGCTAATCGCGCTCCACGGCTCAGGTAGTCCGCGGTGGAGATGGAGCAGACATCACTAGCTTATTCATCGTGGCTAGTGGACGAGCACTGCAGTGTGTTGGGAGAAAGACGCATGCTGTGGGAGTAGAACAGACTTGAGTAGAAGGGACTATTGGATGCTTTTTGAAAAGGGGATTTGGCACCAATACACTGGGAGCGGATTGGGGCCTCTAGTATGAAAAAAAGAAGAATTAGCAACTTGAGGTGAGTGACTGAGTCAGTTCGAGGCTGTTGTCGAAATGATAGTGGGCGGGGATCTCATCATATGCAGCTGCTGAGCGTATGATGTGATGACTGCTTGAAAATTTTGACGTGTCTTTTGATTTCATTATTTGTTATTTAAACTAACAAAGCACAGCCACAGTGTAGCTAGTCTCTCAGTGTAACTGGCAGTCTCCATGCTTCCAGGGCACGCTGCTGCTGTTTTTTCAGGTAACAGTCATAGTGCAAACGTATGACACGGAGCTCGTATGTCCTTATATAGCTAGCGTATTTAAAGATGGTGGGTGACCATAGCGCGTCGACCAGTTTATGTATCGAAAAATGTAAAATTTCAAGTTGAGAGTAATTTTTACGATTGTTGAGAAATACTAATGAACAATGGTAAATTAGTGCAGTGGATACATAGAATTTGGTAGTAACAGGTAAAAATATTACACACTGCTAATTTTATGTTTGTTTTTAGCTGTGAAGCACTTTGTAACTCCGTCTTTGAAGCGTGAACTGAAAAACATTTTTTATTCTAATGACATGCTAAACACTTTTTAATAACAAAACTTTATTCTAAAGTATTACCGATGCTGTTTTTACCAAACCTCCACAATGAGGGTGAAAAATGGAAGCAAACCCGGAAATGAAATACATTGCAGTTCCACTCTCATCCACTAGGGGCTGGTGTCAGAAGCGAGCAAATTCTCATTGACTCCCATGTTAAAAATACCAATTTCACAGCAGAAATAAACATGTTTACAGCCTGGTACCAGAACATGTTTTTGGTTTAAATGATCTAGTTTACACTCATGACAACTCTGAGGGGGGTGAATATTTTTCTCACTCTTCTGTTTAAGTGTATTAAAAGCCTAAAATTCTGTATAATTAATGAGCATCAGACCCACGTGACCACAGAGCTAGCTCCGTGGAAAGGCCTCAGTAGAGCCTCGGTCTGGCTTGGAAACTGTTCCAGGATTTTGGGTCTCTGTGTGTGTGTATTCTTTTTTGGATATTATTTGTGCAATTGTTGGACAAAATGACTTGCTGTGGCATTAATTGCACTAATAGAGCATCCAAGGAGTCTCCACTTCATTTTTTTCGGTAAGTAAAATTATATTTATGTATTTTAGGTCACTGCTGAGCTGAGCTTAGATTTTAACATGTACTGTTTAACCATGAAATGTAAATGTAATAGGGTAAAACCCAGTGCATTTAACATAATGCTGCACTTTAGAAAATGGGTTGAAATATAACATGTTGGTGGAGCTGGGTTCCCACTATCGGCTTGTGGAGCTCTCGGGAGACCGATGTTTTCCACCCGGTTCTCCCCTCCCTGCAGCTCGGCGCACCTCTGTCTGATCGCGGCTTCTGTCTGCTGCGCGGGCTGCCGGCTTGTGGAGCTCTGGGATGGAAACCTTTCCACCCGGTTCTCCCCAGCGGCAGCTCTGCGCATCTCAGATCGCAGCGGCGCTTGTCTGCTGTGCGGCTGCCGGCTTGTGGAGCTCTGGGAGACCTCTGTGTTCCACCCGGTTTTACCCAGCGGTCAGCCCGGCGTATCTCTGACTCAGAAGCTCTGGTGTTGTGCACAGTTATCTCCGGTTGTAGCTAGGTTGCTACCTCTGTTAGCTTAGCTCCCACCTCCGCGTTAGCTTTGGGTTAGCTTCAGGTTAGCTTGTAGCTAGTTCGACCGGGTGTCGTCAGTTGATCTCAGCCTTACAGCCCCACCCTGAGCTCCACCTCTCTTCCCTTTTGTGGAATTGTCTGGGCTTGACGGAACCTGTGACACGGTCAAAATGGCGGTGGTGGCCACCTCCCATTTTAGCGCAAAAACGTGTTATTGGAGCCTATGGAAACCCATTGTCCAATATTTAAATGTCGATGGTTTTTACCTACAACAACCTTACATTCAGAGCCAGATACAATCACAGCTATGAGCAGTACTATTTACTGACCGTGGTGAGGCGAAGACATGTGATCATACAGCCCGACACAGACCTCCTTCTGGAGCCAACCCGCTTCCTGAACACACAGTTGGGCTTCATGTTGGGGGGAAATTTCTCTTTGATCTGCAAAAAATAAAATAAAATAAAACAAACACAGAACATCAACACAATTCTGACTGATTACTATATAGTTTTTATTTTTATTTGTTTATTTCATTCAAAATAAAACCAAATAAAACATAAACAAAAAGACATACATAACAACAAAAGATCTAATTTGAACGAAAAGGAGCAGAATAAAGAAAAACATCTTATAATTTCTGCCCCCTTTTTCCAGAAGAAATAATCTATTTACCGTAAATCCTCTAAAATTAGCCTGAATTTAATTAACTGCCGGGTATCACATTTTGGCCGGAGTCGGCGGAGGTGAATAATGGCCGTTTATTTATTGTGGCCGGGTGGAATGTGGTAACAAGCAAGTACGGGGGGGGGGGGGGGGTTGTGTCATCCGTCTCACTTTTGATTTGCCAGTGATAGACCGTGAGGGTAACTTTAACCGTGCGGAGATGAAGAGGAGGCGAAAATTTCATATCAAGTTCAAAGAGAACGTGCTGATTATGCTGCAGAACACTCTGGGGAGCAGTAGCAGGGGTTGTATGAACTAGTCACTAGTCGACTTCACCGCTCTATAAGTGACTTGTTATGCCTGTCATCGACTAGTCGCTGTCGCGTGATAATGACCGGCAAGATGCAGTCCACGGAAAAGACAGCAGCCTGCTGTCAGCAGGTGACAAGCTCCTGCGCGTCGGGAGACAACACGCTGTGCCAGAGCGTCGGTAATGACGCCCGCCGTAAAACGGACATTTAACCAAATTGTGACGTTTACCCTCTTGCAATTTAGCCTTCCCCTCACCCCCATCCTAACCTTGACCAGCTTGCACATGCAAATCTCTGATTGTTGACGCGCTCCAGACATCTGCGTCCTGAGCACGGCCACAGTAACATTATCAAATCAGGTGTCGCCACCTCAAAAACTAATTTAACACGCGATCGTTCATGTCGGCTCATTTCCTTTTATGTTTTCTGTCTTTTATTCTTTTATTTGTGCCTGATGCGTTTCGCTGCTGTGGATCGGGGCGCATCACGTGTTTTGTCCTCGGTGACGCACCGATCACTGATGCGGCCGGCGAGCACTCCGCTGTTTTAGCGGTCGGTAGATCTTTTAGAACTGCAGTTCAAAGGTAACTCATGAGGTGAATATATATGAACCCAGGTAGCAGTTTCTCTTTAGGATTGAGAGGAGATGCAGGAAGATAATAAACAGGCAGGACAGAAAAATAGTCAAATAAAAACAAGTTAGTTTTTGTACCTGCTGGTTGCAACAAACAGACACCACTGAAGGTATTGATCAGAAGTGAGGAACAGAAAATGAAATAATTATTTTAATGTTTAGAGCAGCAGGAACTCCGAGAGGCTGCAGGCGCATCAGTGAGTTTGCGGCCGCTGCTCAGGGGGAGGGGGGAGAGGGCTGAAGCAGAAACTACCATTGTTAAAAGAAAAGTGTTTAACTTTGAAAATGTGGGCGCAATTTTAATTGTCAAAAACTCCAGCGAACCATTAGTTCATTTTGCTCAAATAGAAATAGAGGCCTGCCTCTAATTCTGGTCCTCCTTCCAATAAAGGCCTGGAGCTTGATGAGCTTGAGTCAAATACAGGCCCGTGCCTGTATTAGAGGATTTACGGTATATACAATTTTCGTTTGTCAGACACACATACATTCATTTTAAACGTTTTCCTGTTCTAATCATGATCATTGATTAAATTTACATTTTCATTATTATTTAGTACACTCAATTTGGTACATTTTTTGAATATATTAAACAACAGAGTTTTTTTTTATTTCCCTTTTAAGGCTATTCCATAATTTAACACCATTTACAGATATATTCCACTCCTTAATTTTAGTTCTAAATCTAGGTTTTGTAAACACATCAGTTTCTTTCAGCATGTAATTACTAGTTCTCTTTTCAAATATCCCCTGAATGTTTGTTGGCAGAATTGGCCTTATACATGGTTTGTAAGATTTTCCAGTCTTTTAAATCATGAAATTTCAGTAATTTATATTTAATAAACAACGGGTTCGATGGATCTCTACAGCCACTATAATTGATGATTCTCAGAGCTCTTTTCTGTAAAATAAATACGGGTTGTGTATAGTTTTTGTTTGTTGCTCCCCAGATTTCTACACAATAAGTCAAGTATGGAACAACCAGTGAATTGTACAATGCCAACAAACCAGAATTAGTCAGTAAAAACTTGACTCTATGTAATACTCCTAAGGATTTGGCAATTTTACCTTTTATGTAACTAATACGGGATTTCCATGTCACGTCTTCATCAATAAGAACTCCAAGAAATTTAGTTTCTTTTACTCTTTGAATTTCAGTCCCATCTATTTCCAATGACACATCACCGTTCTTTTTATCATTAAACAGTGTAAAATTGGTTTTATTAAGATTCAGTGTCAATCTATTTATATAAAACCAGTTTTTCATTTTAATCAGTTCATCATTCATCCCTTTAGCCACCTCCTCAATATTTGATCCTGAGTAAAACAGTGTTGTATCATCTGCAAATAGAATGGTACAGAGTGTCTTAGGTACATTTACCAAGTCGTTAATAAACAAAATGAACAGTTTTGGTCCGAGGACCGACCCTTGTGGCACTCCACAATTAATTTCACATAGTTTGGATTTATGGTCCTTTATCTGAAAAAACTGTTTCCTTTTTTCTAAATAAGTTTTAACCCATTGATGAGTCACACCTCTTGTTCCATACTGACTTAATTTTTGATGTAACCTTGAGTGATCAATGATGTCAAATGCTTTTTTCAAATCAATGAAACCACTAATGAAGTCATTTTTATTGTCAATTGCTGTTGATATTTTATCCGTTAATTCCATTATTGCTTTTGCTGTGGGAGGTTTAGTTCTAAACCCATATTGTTCATTGTTTAAATTTAAATTTTTTTTTGATGAATTTATCCAACCTTGATACTAATACCTTTTCCAATATTTTAGAAAACTGTGGAAGCAGTGACACCGGCCTGTAATTATTGAAACTATGTTCATCACCACTCTTATACAAAGAAATTACTTTTGCC